AGACGACCAATCAATCCCACCATCCCATTTGTCCAGACGACCAATCAATCCCACCATCCCATTTGTCCAGACGACCAATCAATCCCACCATCCCATCTGTCCAGACGACCAATCAATCAAACCTTCCCTTCTGTCCAGACGACCAATCAATCCCACCATCCCATTTGTCCAGACGACCAATCAATCCCGCCATCCCTTCTGTCCAGCGTGCTGACCATCCTGAAGCCCTGCCTGGTTCTCCTGCACGGTGACGTCATCCCCCGGGGCCTCAACTGGTTCACCGTGTTGCCAAGGGCAACAAGGATGGTGTTCGTGCCTCGAACCCCACTCACTCGCATCAATGGGCGCGCCATCAAACACATTCAGTCGTCAGCGGACATCACAAGGATTGATGTGTTATTAGGTGATGCTGGTGGTGGTGGTGGTGGTGGTGGTGGTGGTTGTGGTGGTTGTTGCTATTGTTGTTATGGTGATGGTGGTGGCTATGGTGATGGGGGTGTTGTGATTGTAGTGGTGGTGGCGTGGGTTGTTGTGGTGGTGGTGGTTGTGGTGGTGGTGGTGGTGGTGGTTGTTGTCGGTATTGTTGTTATGAGGATTATGGTGGCTATGGTGATGGGGGTGTTGTGATAGTAGTGGTGGTGGTGTGGGTTGTGGTGGTGGTGGTGGTGGTTGTTGTTGCTATTGTTGTTATGGTGATGGTGGTAGTTATGGTGATGGGGGTGTTGTGATTGTGGTGGTGGGGTTGGGTGATATGTTAAGGTGATGCTGCTGCTGCTGATGCTGGGGATTGTAGTGGTTATGTTTGTTGTGCTGCTATGAAGGTGGTAGTGTTGTTTTGAGGGTGGTGATGTGTAAAAACACCTTCTTTTAACTTAAAAAAAAATGAAACTTCTTTTTAAAATCTTTCTTTGTTTAATACTTCTGTATCGAGGGCAGTCAGGGTAATGAATAAATTAAGCACACGACATGTCAACATCACCCCACCCCTCCCCCACCAACACCATTTTTTTACGGTAGTCGATTCCGAAGACCAGAATTACCCCACTTATGTAATATTTGCCAAATACATTTACCAGCATCACCCCGTTTACGTTGTCAATTCCAAATACAATTATTATAATCCTCATTTACGCAGTGGATTCCAAATACCAGTATCTCCCTATTTATATATAATCTATTCCAAATACCATTATTATTCCCATTTATCATTGTATGTAGTGGATTCTAGATACCAGTACCATCCCATTTGCATAATATTATCTATTCCAAAGATCGTACATAACAAGATAGTTCTCTCCTCCCTTTGAGCCAATTAAAAAGTGTCCTCAAAATCGGTGGTGCCCTCTTCGAAAAAGCGCGCACTTTGCTAACAGAATTACCCTCCTTGTGTGAAAAACAATAAAAAGCGAAACTAACAAGCTATGATATTCCTGCTTTTTCTTCTAGAGAAATGAAAGAGAGCTTCAAAGCAAAGACTGCGGCGCCATCCATCTGGAGCAATGCGCAGACTTCCGCAGACACTTATGTGGCCGAGTGAACTATCTTGTCATGAACGATCTTCGTCTATTCCAAAGCGTCAGTCTACTTAACAAGACGGTCCACTCCCACTCCTCTCTTTGAGCCAATTAAAAAAGTGCCATTAAAATTCGGTGGCTCCCTCTTCGCAAATGCTCACCCTTTGCGAACAGAGTTACCCTACTTGTGTTTTAAAAAATCAAAGTGAAACTAACTAATTTTTTATATAAATAAGAATTCAAATTTCGGAAGAACGCTTTCTTTAATGGCTACGCTGACAAAAAACCTGCTC